GTGATAATAGTATCATAATCATAATGTATATATATATAGATATATATATATTATATATTGTGTCATCTCATCATCATCTCTTTTTGTTTCATCTTAATGTTTTAAATCATCATATATCATCTCTTCATTTCTTTAGTGCTCATTCATCTTCTGTTACTTCGCTTTTCTTCCCTTCTATTTGTTCTCTTCCGCCTACTTGCTTTCGGGCCACCCTGTCGTCTAGTTTTGTTTTGTATTTTTCATGACATCTCCAATGCACACAATACTCCACCTACACCATTTTCATATGAAAAACTTGCTCTCCAACATTTATGATAACAATTTTCATATGAAATGTGATTTCCATATACAACATGAAAACTTGGTCATCCAACATTCATGATCACCCTTTTCATATGAAAAGTGTTTTGATAATCCAGTTCATTTGGTCTCTTGTATGACTCTTTTGTTTGACCAGTCAGAGGTCCTGATCACTCGCCCAGACTCGAATTACACAATAGCGTGTCCACTGCCTTTCACAACCTTTTCTGCAACCAACACAGATCGCAACATATCGCAACTGTTCCAGTTCTGGTTCAAACCGATTGGCATATCAGACACACTTGCCAGTCATGCAAGCTGCAGGAATGGTCGATGGCATACATCGTGCTCGGCAAATTACAGGCAGGATCGGCCAAGCAGAAACGAGCCTACCATAGCTTGGTAGGCAAAACATCCCGGAAACTAGGTGGGATTCTCAGCAGCCTGGACCCTCAGCGTATCTAATTACATCTGTCAGGTCAGCCTCTTCATTCCACTCACGGCATTCAACACTCCAATCCATTTTGCTGAAGAGCTCCAGTACTGATTGAGGCCCCACCTTATGTTGACCGCTATTGAGAATCGAAATTGATTGGATGGAAATTCTCAAGTTTATGTCATATTATAACATACATCGAATGGCACCTGCGCAGGCAACGGGTGAGGAGGATCTTGACGTAGCTTGGCAACCAGTCTCACCAGTTTTCCAGCAAACTTGTAGGTGTATTGCCTAAATTCAGCAGCAAAACCCAAAAGTGATCCCTATCGTGGGATTGCAACAATTCATATTCATGCAAAATTGATTGTATGTTTTATCAGAGCAGAGGTGCTGACTTTTTTTCAAGTTGGGATTCCCTTTGAACCGCTTCCTTCCGTTTGCATCTCGGTATGAAGTCGTGGTTGTTTCCGAGTCCTGTTTCTCCTCCTTGGTCAAAGGCCCAAGGTCCAAGGCTTCAATGCGTCGTGTTATACTCCAAACCCAGGTTCGCTTCCAAGATATCGATGAATATTTTCTCATCCAAAATGCACATTTGTAGACCTTACATCGTTTACCAAACATATTACAGGTCAGATTTGACAGTGCAAAAAACACTATATCACCTGAGACAATCATAAGCTAAGGTTCTGGGATTCCAAGGGCAAGAAGACGCTCAGCCAACCATATGTATCGAGGGTGCAGGGCAACCAGGCTATTCATAGGGTTCTCCAGGAAAAACGTTCCACCGGCCATGACAACCAGCCACATGCAAAGCACGGTCCTGGAGGGTCCCAACACAGAAATATTGAAACAATATGGTTGTAGTGAAGTTTACACCCAAACAGCTAGAGCATCATGAATCCGAGGCCTACAAAACAACACCCCAATTTCCTGCTTGTGAGCTTGTTAGAGCGCCGCACAGCAGGAAAATCCTCATTCCCCAACGGTGTCATGATAGTCCGTTTGGTACTGCCCCGATTCACGGGGACCCAAGAACTGCAAACTATAGCAAAGAATGCTGCGAGGCCCTCGAACTCTGAGTTGAGAATCAGGCGAATGCAAAGACTCAGTGCAGAACGCTCAACAAACACAACATTGAAAAACCTGACAAGTGTGTTGTGCTTTCTCTTGTCAAATGCACACCAGATATTGAGGCTAGGGACATGAGGCCAGCATTTGAATTGAGGTCCATCGGTGGCCGTGCTCTTTTTCCCGTAGACTTACCATATTCAATATCAACTGCTGCACTTCTAAACCCTGCATATCGAGACATGGATGCAATCCGACCGACCCCAGCGAAGAACTCCAATACCTGGTATGCTTCGCCATCTTTGGGAAGCTCTAACCACCATGTCAAGAGCACCAATAGAACGACTACCTTAGGTTTCCGCTGTACTGGTACTTGTCTGACAAAAAAGACGAAACAGAAGAAACACCTGAAAGATTGTACAAGTAAAGACCGGTGCGCATCCAAGGTGATACCATGAATGCTTCAAGCTGCCTTCGGGGTGTTCAACATGATGAGCCTCTTGACAAACAAATCGAATTGGGAAGGCGTCATTGCTGCAGCAACCTTTTTGGAGTCGATGAATTGACATGGATTCTAGTTCTGAATGAACTGTATACTCTACATGTACTGAAAGTGATTGTCTTGAGACACGCTGGATTGTTCTTGATCGGCTTGCTATATGTAACGCATATTGCAGATGCTGTCTCGAGATCCAAACATAGGTCTCAAAAGAAAAGTGTCATACAAAGACTGCACATATAGAGCATGCTCACTGCACATACACAAACACCACATCCCTAGCCCTGAGTGTCAACAGGTCAGGCGTACTAGAAAGATTTTCGATGCCAAACTTCGCAAGGTTGATGGAACCTCGTCGAAGACCATAAAGCTTCGGAGCCATGCACACCTGGCTGAGACAAGAGATGTCGGGGTGAGGGGTGCAAAAGGAAGGAAAGGAGTTGAACTTGAACAGGTGGGGTTGCAGAACTGGGACCCTGGAAGCTCTTGCGCTAGACAAACATGTTTTGACAATCGCTAATGAGCACTCACGATCATCTACTGCTTGGTCTTGGAACCAGATGTCTAAGTGCTAAAAGTTCTGCACAGTATGTGTGTCAAAACACACACACACAAATTACCATATGTGGAGCAAATTAACGTTGCTGTTAGTACAGCAACTTCTGAAGACAACAGCAACCCCTCGGTTTGTTCACGCAGCACATGCGTTAGGTCAAAGGAAAAACTGTGCAAATTGATCACCATGAAATATATCATTAGTTTGTTTAAGGAAGCAAACACTGTTTGTAAGTTTCTTTGCAACAGGCCATGAGTGAGCGTGCAAATGGGTTTGACGATCTCACATCATCTCCGGTTCACATGGTTCACAAGGATCCACGAGGGCGGTGTCTTGCAGGAAAAGCTTCACCTCAGAAGCCATGAGACTCTGCATAGAGCTCGTATCCGAATCCCTCCCTCGCTTTTTGCTGCCCTTCTTGTAGTCAGTCTTGTCCAAAGCCGCGGAACACCAATCCCACCACTCCACCTGCCACTGATCCAGATCCACCAAAACAAAACTTTGGATTTGGACCATAAATAGTTTACAAACGTGTTTGCTTTCATCATATTGATAAAATTGAGAGCTATAGATTTGTTTCAACACTATACTAAACATATAATATATGCAAGTTGAACTTGGTGTACCAGCCTCCCACGACGACAAATTGAAGCCCCACGCCACAAGTATCGGCATGACCGTGCTCTCAAACGTGTCCCGCACAGCAAACCATCTGTCCCGTGCAAGTTGCGATTTGGGGCATGGACGACGGGCAAATGACTTAAGCTTCGGAGACTGCTGGCGCATGTCCTCAGGCTTATTCCCATCATGGTTCTCAGAGGCTCCAACATCCTCCTTGTTGGACGAAGTGGCAGAAGAACGGGATTTCTTGCCATCAGCAGCTCGGTCCTGAGAGTCAGTGTGCCATTCCCAGGCTTCAAGTCCCTCTCTAGAAACAGGTTTCCAATCAATTTTGTCAGCATCGTCCTTGTCCTGTCCAGTGGTTTCCTCCGCCACTGACTTGCGCTTGGCTCTCCGCTTGGGCTGTGACTTGGGCAAGTTCTCCTCAATCACCTCCTTCTTGATCTTATTCTCCTTGTCATCGTCATCGTCGGAAATCAGGTCGATCGTGTCTTCAGTCTTCCGCCCACGGCCACGGCCACGACCTCGACCTCGACCACAATTGTTTTTTCTTTTGGCCTTCTTCTCACCTGCAGGTTCTTTTCCCTTTTCCTCATGTTTCATTCTGAACTGCTCCTGCCTTGTAACAACAGGAGGCTCCTCTGAACCAAGCTCCTCTAAGCTATGCTCCTCTTGATCCTCAACTCTATGAGGCTTCAGTTCCAAAGCTTTGGAAGCAGCCTGAGCACCAGCTTCATTTGTCACGTCCTTCAGAATGGGCAAGCCTGAAGAAGGAACATCAGGTTTGATCACACCCTTGCCACCATCGAGTGGTGAAGACATATTTGCATCCATTGCTGGGTCACGTGACTCATGCTTGTGCTCATCATTTGCTTGATCTGAAGGGTCCAACATGTCCTGGGGTCCACCAGCAGGAGACTCCTCATGGCCAGCGGGAAGTGCCTCAGATGCCAAGCTCTCAGGAGATATGCCTTCACCTGGTGAATCAGCAGGTGGCTTTGGGGCAGCAGTTGAAGACCCATTCGCTTCCGACTCTTGACCACTGCGCACGGCCTCCTTCTCTATAGGATCTGTGTAGTAGTCATCGGGCAGCTGCGAGTCAGTCCAAATCTCTGCAGCACCTAGTCAGGGACTGTAGTTTTTATTGGTGACTATTATACTTATACTTTGGAGGTTGGAACGCGTTTGAGTTGAATACACCAACAATGCAAACATGATGGTTTTAGTCATGAAGAACCTTCATGGTCCTCGAGATCTTGATCGCTACAAAACTCCTTCTGCAGACAGCGCTTCAAGGAGGAGTCACAATAGTCCGACCCGGCATCACGGCCTTGTTCAGCTGCATGCAATGAGTGAGCCAATGAGTGTGCTACAGCTTCAGAGGTAGCATGATCGAGTGGTTGTGTGTCAAACATGTCATCCACAGCTTTGGAAGCAGCCCGATTGGCAAGAGCCAACCTGGCCAGCATTTAACAATGAATATTAATGATATCAAATTGAATTCAAGCCTCAGCATCCCTCAGCCCTTTACATGCAGAGACAAAAGTTAAAAGAACGTGTCAAAGACTTGAGGAACATGTCAACAAGAAACCGCAGCATGGCGATTCGGTCCCGTCGCTCATCGTTTGAGAGATCCTGGAACGACTTCACATCGTGCTTCTGTCCCTGAGAAGGCACATCGCTGTTCTGCAAAGGCTTTGATGTGTTCTTCTCATCCCCCTCGAGAGATGCTGCCACAGCTTCCGTTTCGCCTGACATGGAGTCAACCGGCTCCGCCATCACAGCCTTGGCGGCATCTTCACAATCCACATCAACAACCACAGGATTTGGTGGGCTGTGCACCTGACGGGGCATGGACGCCATTTCTCCCCCAACTATTGTGTTTTCTATTTATCAAACCAATAAGTTCTACTGCTATTGTATCGTTTTATATTGCTTTAACAGAAATGTTTTAAGTGTTGTTTTGAAACTTCCCAAACCTCGGAGGCTTTTGGTGGTGGTGATGCCTCACTGCCGCACTGATCATACGGGTCTGACTTCACCACCATAAAGTCCCTAAAGTCCGACTCCTCTTCATCGCTGTCCTCGACCACCAACACTTTTTGGCCGGGCTTGAGCCTGATGTTCCACCATCGGAAGATCTCATCATAGAATGGATTCACGCCAATGTCCTTGGATCTTGTTTGTGGATCGACCCACTATTCTGGTTTTGCTCTTCCACCAAGAGAGGTTCAGAGAAAACAGTAAGAGTTATTGTTATCGTCGGAATTGTTATGTTTGGGGTGTCTTTGGGTAGTATTTAATATACTGTTGGACTTCTAACTGATGTGTGGAATTTACAATTATGATGTATACAATGTGTTGAACTGCACAACACATACTAACAGTGTTTTTGTCAAGTGTCACGACGGATGGGGCTTCCAGAACCGCTTTTGTCAGCGCCAGCTTTCCTCAAGCCATAGCTAAACAGCTTCTTCAAAGCCCAACTGTCCTGATGCAGCGCCGCTGGATTTAAAGGAATCTGAAGTTCTGCACGAAGTGCATCTACCTGCGCACAAGGGTCCAACCAACTGCTAGTTCTAGTGGTTCATCCACGGAACAACCTCTCATGTGTGTCAGTGTGGATGCACTACTCGTGTCATATTGTACTCAATTCTTTGGCGAAGTCTTTAATGCGTTTTATTGAATTAGCTGTATGGGTATACTGGAATCTATTTGCATGGTGCATCTTTTTAACTAAAACATATGATTCATATATAATATATAGTTCATGGTTGGTTCATGAATGAACATTTTCTTCAGAACCATGGCCTCTTTTCTCAAATCATTGACGCTCGGGCTCTTGGGAACCTTCTGTTGGGGGCACCAGTGCTCGGCCAAAATCCGAAGAGCGTGGATATTCATGGAGATACCAGCCATAGTCGGTTTCCCTGTTAGCTCAGGAGCAGGCCATTTGACGAGTGAACCATTGTTTTCCCGGAGACGCTTCCTAATGTGCTTGTTGCTTTCCCACTTCTCAGCTAACGACTGGGGTTCCTCGAGAGGCTCCACATGTTTGGAAGCCATCGCTGCAGGCCACTGAGTGCTGATCGGCGGGCAGTCCAGTTGAGGACAAAAAGCTTCAGCAAACACAAGTGAAAGCTGAGTGAAAGGTCTAAAGGGAAAACACGACTCTGTGGAAAGACTTCCGAGTAGAGAGCAAAGTAGAGGTGCTTTGTAGTGAAAATTGGCCGGGCTCACCAAAGCTGCTAAGATGACGAGAACAACCATTGAAAATCGCCGCCTGGCATGGAAATGGAAAAGCTTATGAAAGCTTTTTGTCCACGCGCTTTGACAAAGCTGTTGCTCACAAAAGCTTGTGCCATATGTTTCACTCAAGACCTGCTCCAACGACAAAAAAAGCAAGCACGACCGACGTTGGCCCAACAGCCCAATCCCTTGGACCTGGAAGTTTCCATGGAAGTGACCGCTTCACCACCATGGCTGCAACCTCTTTAAAGACTTGTGTTGATTTCATAGTGTTCCATGGACACCCAAGTTCCAAGACATGTTTGTGAGTTCAAGTTGGAATCACTTAATGTTCCCATGCTGATCCACACTTTGGATGCCGCATGTGAGCTGGAAGATGCCTGGCGAGCACGACAGGAGCGATAGTGACGGGTCAAGTCATGACCAAAACATACCAAAACCCAGAAAACCAAAGATCTGCCCCTGGACAAGAATTGTGGACCTACCAGTCTAGAGGCACTTCTTTTCCTAAGGTCGAAAATTGTGCACACCCTGGAAGACCTAGGTAGTAGTAGGTAGTAGTAGGTAGTAGTAGTTAGTAGTAGTTAGTAGTTATAGTAGTTATAGTAGTTATAGTAGTTAGTATTAGTAGTAGTAGTAGTAGTCGTAGTCGTAGTAGTAGTAGTAGCAGTAGTAGTAGTAGTATGAAGGCTAAACGGAGGGTGTGTGGAGAAAGCGGGTCAGCAAAAATCGTTTGTACGAAGTTAGTGCATCAAAAATACCTTCCACGAAGTTCTGCGAAGGTTTCTGGGATTTCGTTGCAGTCAGTTCTCCTACTGGCCCACCATTCCACGAGCTGTCCACGAACAGTCTTGGGTTCTACGAAGGTCACGCGCCCTCCACGACGTTTGTAGAATAGGTTTTTGCAAAACCCTTTCTGTGCACTACCCCTTTGATAGTAGTAGCAGTAGCAGTAGCAGTAGCAGTAGCAGTAGCAGTAGTAGTAGTAGCAGTAGTAGTAGTAGTAGCAGTAGGAGGAGCAGCAGCAGCCGTCGTTGTAGTAGTAGTAGGTAGTAGTAGTTAGTATTTATAGTAGTAGTAGTAGTAGTAGTAGAAGGAGCAGCAGCAGCAGCAGCCGTCGTGGTCGTCGTCGTCGTCGAAGTTGTTGTTGCTGCTTGTTTGTTAAGGATGGTGGTGCTTTTGCTGACAACCAAAGCTTGTGTCTTCATGCCCATCCTCTCCTTGTCCAAGGAGACGTCGGTACATCATTCGTTGTCTTCTTATCTGTCGACCGGTCAACCTACGTCACCATCACAGTTGGCTTTTGGGGGGCAACCCCTGGCCCTGATCCGGAGTCATAAATATGCCAGTCCCACGGATTGGCTGGTATAGCCTTAGTAGCTATCTGGAATATACATAGACCTGGACCCATGGTTCAGGTGTTGTCATAAATAGACACCCCTTTAAGGAGGGGCCCTGGTAGTTGTGAGCTGTTAAACATAAAGCCTGACCATGGACCACTGGAGGATGTTCCGAATACGGAAGAGGTGGTTTTTCAGGTTCTATGTTTGGCTTACCCAGGGAGTATTTCGTGGTTGGTCGTGTGGTTCTTGGTCCTCTGTGTAGAAAGTGCCGCTGGTCATCGCTTCATGTTGCTCCTGCAGGTGAACTGGGGAAGGTGTCTGATCAACACCCTACCTTGACCAGACCACAAAAACACCCATCCTTCCAAACGCCCCTGAAAACTCCGCTTCTTTTCCACTCTTTTCCACCCAGACTCTGTCAAGGGCTGAGAGAAGGTGCCGGATGGACACGCCTCCGCGCGCTGAAAACCAATGCACGGCCCCCGAAAAACGACCCGTCGGGGGAGGCGACCGGAAACCGGACACGCGAAACCCCAAAACCCGAGGGCCAAGAGTCCAGAGTTCAAACCCGAGGTGTTACATGTTGGGTTCAACCGACATCTCAGGAATCAGTATTATGCTGATGATGTTTTTTCATGCCCTGAACTGTATTGAGCCTACCCTGAGACTCAGAGAGGCTATAGTAGTAATATATAGTAACATATATTATACATAAATGGTCGTTAGGTCTTGAGGGGGACCAAAATGGACAAGTTGTTTACTTCACTGCGGAAATGTCTTTGGACTTCTAGGGCCTACAAATGCGGAATCGAAGATCCAGGACTGCCGAACAATGTGGGATCAGTCAGGATCAGTCGACTGATCGCGATTTCTGTTTCCTGCACCAAAGACCATGGACGGCAGAGTTGAGGCCAGGTGAGTCATTGTGCCAACTTGATGGATCTGATGAACCCGTTGCCAACGGTCACCGGTGAACCACCTGTGTCACGACTCTGCCAAAACAGCCTGTGCAACTACCTGACCTGACTCACAACCTACGTTGCCAACTACCTCCACGTGAGGATAAGAACCCAAACTTCAGAGGGGAGAAGGACCGAACACGCCGCGTGACGCTGTCTAACCGACGGAAGAATCTGACCTGGCAGCTGATCTTGTTACTGACATTCACCCGATGGTCCGTAAAGGTTTCCAAGACGGTGTCGTAGAGCCCAAAGCCCGGAAAGCATTGACTCCTGAGCGGATGGAACATCCTGTAGGAGTGACAAGTCACAGTTGAGGATCGGCCTTTGTGTTCTCATCTGGTGTTCCCGATTTAGTGGGGTCCATTCTGGGGGGTCCATTCTGGGTCACGTGGCGCCTGTATGTCCATGTCCGGCGTTTGCACCTGGAGTGTCAGATTCGATACTTGAAGATAGTTAACCCATTTGACTCCTTCCTGCACCCCCGCCGTTGGGTATATGTTCGTGAAACACCCCGCGCGCCACACATCCGGGACACTCATCTGGGATCCACGAGCGCCACACGTCCGCATGGGATCGCAGCCAGCGGCAAGTGGTGTTCCTCCAAGTGTCGCCTCAGCGAACGGTCCGGCCGAACGGCCCTCCAAGTGTCGCCCGCAGCAAGTGCTACAGAAAAAACAACGTAGACATGCATACATAAAACATAGATCTGTGGCATGACTAATGGCTCTGACTCCCGGGGCACTCTTGGGGGCGGGGGTCTTCTTCGTTTGGGAACCGATCCTGCATCTCCTGCATCGGAGGGAAAGTGGTGGTGGACAACAACACGGGAACATGGAGGGTCTTGCAACATTGTGGTCCAGGTCCTTGTGCGTATAAGTTCAATATTTGTCGACCGAAATTGCACATGTTTCAGGGGGTCCAACTTGTATTCAACAATGCCTGCGAATGTGATATTTCCCTATCTACTTAGTCTTTCATTCATCCACTGCATGGTGCTTGTCATCTAAGGTGGATGTTCCATCGACTGCACCCGACGATAAACAGGTCTCCGGCATGGTGGCTGAAATGGAGACTTCAAAGTCGTAGGTGGTGGCCTGTTGGAGGGTGCTGGTATGTATGTGTAAATATAAATAAATATATATATATATATCCCAAACACTCCATGTATGCCATATATGCCTACATTGGGGTGGTTTTGGGGTCAATGTAGGCATATATAGCATACATGGAGTGTGTGGGTATGATATCATTTCTCCATATGACACGAGCCACTTGGGAGATGATCAATTCTCACAAAAAGCTATGTCAACCTCAATGAATCAACCCCTGACAAACATGCCATCCCTCACGATACCTCTGATCCATCAACTTCCATTATATACATTATATATATATATACAATCATATATCGCGGGTCGCTGTGAAAGCCAGAAAACCAGCCAGAAAGCCAAGTCACTGGTATTCTTTTGATCCAACAGCATATCATTCATCTGCTCTATGCTCACCATGACGTTCTTCACAAAACTCTCCACATTCGGTGCCAAAATGCTCAAGTCTCTACTGACCAGCTTGTCAATGGAGATGGCGCTGGCAGCGGAGCTTTGATCGCCTTGGCTGTAGGCTATTCGGTCGTGAGGAGGATAGATCACTTGAAGAGGTTGCAGCTCCAAGAAGGTTGGATCCGGAATCCACCAGTAGAAGTACGATTTCCTCAGCTTTGAGGCCGAAAAGTCAAGACATGATCCCCCGTACCGTGGTTGTTTGAAACAAACAGAGGTGTTTGAGGGTGGACAGTTGCAGGCCATCGCTAGTAGGCCATCGCAGTGAGTGATGAAAAAGAACAAGAAAAACCTCTCGGGGCGGACCCTTCGTTCTCTTTGCCTTCACGGCTTGATGATCTGTCCACTGACCGCCATTCGATTCATTCAGGCATCGGATGCGTGTGTGGATAGCTGGTGTATTTGCCCCACGAAGCTGCCACACCCAAGGCCACGGGCATGTTCCACTTGGCCGATTTCTGCATGTATTGCTTGGCATCCCAGCCAACACCGCCGGTGACAAACGGAACCTGGGATAACTCAAGTGAGACCAATACAATTATATAATCACCGTTGCGATAGACTACTAGGAAAAAAGAAAACCAATTTCTGTCGTGACTGGCTAATTTGACTGTGCAAAAAGGTCATCCGTGTCATCCATTTTATTTAAGACCAATTTTAGATACCCTTAAAAAAAGAAAACACACAAGCAAAACATGTATTGTTCCTTGGTCGGCCACAGTCATTTGAGATAGCCGGTAACCAAATTATCATACATTGAAGAACTGAAATAGCACTTCATGGAACTGGATCTAATGATGACTCAAAATCGGCAGCATGATTCCTTCCTCGACACAAATCGAAAAGGTCTTCAAAGGCTTTGAAACAATCGAAAAGGGCTTAAACTGTTCAGGTCAAAATCTGCTTGAAGGAGTGTTCCTGGACTGTTGCATCCTTTCAAAAGCAACGCCCAAGCCTTGCGTTGTCTCGCTGCTCGGGCTCTCGTGTGATTTTCCACTCACTGATTTGAGGCACCCGAAGACGGGTGAATCTTCTCGGACGAGTCGTTGAACAAAACGTTACCACGATACAAAAATTGTCTGACATAATATGAAATCATTATGGGAGTGGAGTTCACCCGCTGCTGATAGTAGAGAAAAATGGTCCTCCAGGGGCCTACGCCGTCCACTTCCATGATGACTTCAGGGAGTGTATCACTGGGCAACGCAAAGTGATGCATTGTGACGGCACGATGGGCTCATCCACCAATAGCCATCGGCACATTTTCCGGAATAAGTGCCATCATCTGCGATCACAACCTTGTACTTGCTTGAGGAACTGGGAAGAATACCAACAAAATCCAAAAAGAAAGCCCTTGAGGCTCATCATTCTGGGATCATCCACTGAAAACAAAGCATCACCCGATGATGTCACCAGGCGACTCCATCCACATCGCCTGATAACTCCACATAGGACTTCATCGTGCCATCCTCCGTGAAGATGGAGGCAGTGGAGGAACATGGCTTCAGCATGTCTGTGGCATTGATCATGGAGATCGGATCAAAGTATTGAGACGGAGCATACCAGGAGGCGTTCCAGAAGCGGAAGTATTGTAGAGCGATGCCTTCTTTCACGTAAGCTTCTTGTTGAACTGGCTTTGGAATGAAGCCACCTGTGACTCCTCACAGGGCCACTCAGCTGATTGATACTGTAATACTTGATCTATCAAAGATGCCCCAGGGCCCAGCATGCCCCAGTGCCCCAGCTACCAAGTCTGTGAATCAGGCCCTTCAGTTCATGACCTCCTGAAAAAGAAAGAACACATGACTCTTTAGATCAAACAGTGACCTGCCTAGTGGCGACTCGCGGTTTGACATATTGATTTCAGCCGCTGGTGTCCTCTCACAGGACCGTCCACCCGATTGAAAACTCAAGTCCTTCGTAGCCCATGTTGCCCAAATTCCTGGCCGCCATGCTGCCGCGCTCCGTTTGAAGCTGCTCCCAAACCAATGGATAGCTCTTCGTCCAGGTTTCCATTCCGATGTGATACTTGCTGACCTGACATGGACTTCACACGCCCGTGAAAGGCACCCCCGGAGCCCGGCTGGGCGGTGGCTTCACCCAGCTTCGCGTCGTCCCGTCCCCCACCTCGTCGGTGCACCCGCGGGCGTTGAGATCACCGATCTCGTTGGGACGGCGACATCCGCTGATGGCATAAAAGCCGCTCACCGTGCCCGAACCTCCCAGCTTCAGAACCCGCGGAGCGGAGCTGCGGGACGGATGGACGGTGTGGGACGTGACTGGCGGTGGAAAGACCGTGTTTGCTGCGACCGGTGCTGGTGTCAAATGGCTTGACATGAAGTCTCGAAGTGACCATCTACAGCGGTAAGTGACCAAAAATCCTGGGATCCCAAGCTCGGTCCCTTTGAAGGTCCTTTGGAGTTCGTTGTTTGGGGAAAATGCCCATGCTATTGGAGCTCACCGGAATGCAACGGCTGCATTCGCCAGCAGATCGAAGCGTAACGCGAGGCATCGGCACCTGCCCCTTCCAAGGTGTGGAAGCCAAAGACCTCCTGCGGAGTGCTGCGGTGCAGCGCTGGAGGTGCGATTTGTGGACTAGTGCTACTTGCACCCATTCCGATCTACATCGCACAGAAGGTACGACTGGACCCCAGTAAAGGCTACCTGTTAAGATGTCTGAGACATCACCCTCTGAGAGATAGGGTTTGAGGATCCGGACCCCCCTGGGGTGTGCTTTTCGATGCTTGACCATCGACGGTGACCCACGTTATGACCCGATCACATCGACGTCGTGCTTTTCGTTCAACTCTTCAGGGGGCTGGAGGGGCGCCCAACTCAAACCACGTTTGGTTTCGAAAGCCAGGCACTGGCAAAGAAGCAAATCCGAACTAATGAGCGAAGTAGAGGGTACCCAAATTTACTAGTCACTTCAAACTTCCCATGTTTTCAGGTCCAGAACTCAAGACCAATGGCCAATACATACAGTACAGGCCCTTTACCATAGCGGGAATTTGGTACCCCCTCTCATTTGTTTGGGCCCTCAAACTTGGCTTGGATGGTGTACCTGGTACCTCTCTTTTGGTGAGTTAGGTTGGTCCAAAGATGGATCTTTATTTTTTTGGTAATTTGTGGTACCGGTGGTACCCTGTCAAAGTTGTTTCATCAGATTGGTTTGGATTGGTACCCTTTCGAGGTGGTTGAAGCTCTGATTTGGATTGGTTTCATGGAAATCCTCAAAGGTTCTGGTGATGCTGCACATCGAAGTGTGTATAAGCAGCATCACCAGAACCTTTGAGGATTTCCATGAAACCAATCCAAATCAGAGTGATGTGCTTATAAGCACCCTTGTCAAGACGAGGTTCCTTTGATTGATTGCAATGAGTCTCCAGCGAAATCGCTGCTGTTTTTTCAAAGCAGTGGCGGTTTGCGAAGATTGCAACCAACAATTGTTCAAGCAAAATGAGCAGTGGCCCAGAGCCAACATGTTCGATATTTTGGCTTTTGGATCACGTCCGTGGTCTGAGACCGCCTGAATCTCTTAGACTAAGTCTCTTGAACCCCTGTTTGTCGTCACCTGCTCGCGTAAAGGACACGTCTGACGAGGATCCTGTTCAGATCTTTTCTGCTAGAGCGCTTACTTTAAATGCATCGTTCTTTCTTCATTGCAAGGTGTTTCTTTTGCTTTACATTGCCGATGGAATTGCTTCTTGCAAAGTGTTTTTCCATTTCCAATTTGCGGCAGATAAACGTTCAATACATCGTGTTATGTGGCTCATACTGGGTATGCTAAGGCTTATGGTAGAGCAGGGCACTGAGCAAGGCTTCTTTTATGATGCAAGACCACAATTTTGTGCTGAGGCTCATGTGAAGGTCTTTCTTTTGTAAAGATCCCATTTAGACCTACTGTAAGGGTTGTATTGTAATGCACTCACTTCAAAAGCATCAACTCTACTCTCCCTTCTTATCAAAGGTGTTGAAAGGTTTATGGCATGTGTGTTGTTGTTAAAGTTGATTGAAGATCATTTGAAGCTTCTAGTGAGAACTGCTGCAAAGCACAACAGTTCAACAAAGCTTCCTGGTCCCAGTGTGATTATGGTGAGCAATGCCTGTAGACACATCTTGAAGTCTTGTCTTTGAGTGCTGGACATTATTGCAGCGGTTTGCGTCTGAATTTTAGGTACCAGAGTAGCATGTATATGTCAATCAACATCGCATATTCACGAGCAAGAGTAGATCTCAATCTTCGGCGGGGCCACCCTGGGTCTTCAAATGTCTTCAGCTGGTCTCCCAGAATCTGATCTGCCGAAAGATGGACATCTTCAGCCATCTTCGTCTCCTCCACGATGGTGGCGACCAAAATATTGGCTGCATAAGAGGCAGCCCAATCAGGAATCCATATCCCTATGGGATACGACTCCCCATTGGCATTCTCCTCAAGCCATGCACAGCGCTGGATCAAGGGGAGGAGTTTTCCAGAGCGACGTCCCCGTGCCACTGACGGTTCTTCATCGGCGGTCTTAAGACATGCCACGTGCGCTCCAAAACGTCTACTCCGTTCCACATGGAGCTCCATGGAGGTAAAAATATACCCTACAGGTCAGTTTGGCCTCATAAAATACAGGTCCAGTGGTCATACAAAAGTACTACTCAAGGAGGTAAAAGACCAGGTTTTACTGAGTCAGGCTGGGCTTTTAGGGATACCTCTGATGTCCCTGGTCCCTTCAGGCGATTTCGGCCCGTCAGTCGAAGCACAATGTGCCGAGGTGACGAGTTCGGGGTGTCCATGAAGCACCACAAGTTCGGGCGTCCTGTCCAGGTCCATCCTGTCTGGGTGTCCTGGCTGGACTACCCTAAGCTACTTAGAGATGTCCATTGGAAACCCAGACAGGATGGTCCTGGTATGTTATATTATATATATTATATGTTATGCTTTATATATATATATATATTAGATGTATTGAAACCAAGATATAACAATAACGATACATAAGTTGTAGGCTATTATATCTCCGGCAGGCTGGCTATTTCGACATGATCAGTGGCCGGTCTATGCTCTTCATCTCATCTACGTATATATAAATAAATATTAATATATTACAGTATATATATATACAGTATTATACTAGTATATACTGTAATATATACTTGTTGCTACTCCCACACCAGCAGTGCAGCATCAAATAGTCCGCTTGTTGCCCCCTTTTCACCCTCCTCTGGCCAGATCTCCCGGTCCCTCGAAGAACCCTCCAATTCACATAACGGCGGAACCGCGCTCGGGTGCGTTCGCCATTCGTCGTGAACTCTCGGTTCGTCGGAACGGTGGACACCGGGACAAGGCGTCTCGCGGCTTCCATGCCACACTCGTCATGACCTGGGCATCCCGGTGTTGTTCGGCTTCCCATCGGTCGATCGCTTGGGATGAACCCCTCGATCTCGGACCCGACTTCCAGCCCAGTCGCCAGCTTCTTGCGCTCACCAAAGGGAATTCCGCCATCCAGGCAAGTGGCACTGGCTGAAACACCCACACCTCGGTACACTTTCCGCAAAAAACATCGGCACATTGCGTGAAAGCTTGTTTGGAATCGTGGGTGTAAACGGTGTTTGGACTTGTAAGGAAGGTGATGATCACCGTTTGAATTCATATCGATCAACCAACAAGCTACTAAACAGTCCGTCTGCTTCGTGACTCGGACGGTGTGACCTTCAGTGCTTTGCATTCAAAAGAGTCCGGACCTCTTGAGGTCGAATGAAGTCCTTCTCCCCTAGGAGGTCACTGGCCCCTTTTTTGGGGGACTGGGAGAGCCAGTCTCAGAGAGTTTGGAAACCACTCGATCCCATCTCCAATTTGGGTCCAAAGCTCAAAGAGCAAACCTCAGTGCCCTCAATGCCATGGCACAGAGAATGACAAAGGCTTTCCTACGATATGTTTAGGTCAAAAAACCTGACAGGAAATGCCGGCGGCGTTGCTGCGTACCATCGGGCGGAACGGTGAAACTTCAGGCGATTTTTTGATGAAATCATGAAATCAGACTCAGTTGCCTACATTGACTGGAAAGATTTGGCAAGTCATGTTTGGTTTCACTAGCTCGCTCAAATTCGCTCAAACTCAACCTACAAGCTGGATTTTGAATGGATAGTCTCATTTCTCTTCCATGCACAAAAAACACCCATCAGTGGCTTTCCCAAACCAACGTCAACTTCGCACCGTCCCACGGTTTCACCGCTTCTCTCCGCAGTGTCGCCGATCAAGAAGTTCCACGTCGCGCGCCGCGCGCGTCGCTGTGGGAAGGTTGGCCCGGTTCTGTGGTTGGCGTGTCGTTCGGCGCTCGGAACAGAACGACGAACAGTTCGGCGCGCCCCGGGCGATCTCGAGCGAAGCGGTGCTCGACCCGAAGACGATGGAATGTCTGCCAACCTTCACAAGGACCGAGCACAGCCTCCAGTCAGACAGTCCGTTTTGGAAGAAGCTGTTCGGAGATGGATCCGACCGTCTGAGATGCATGTTTATTTGATTGAAGATTGCCAGGACCTTCAGTTCGTGACCGAACTTGATATCCCAAGATTTTCGGTCACCAACAGACCCGTAAAAGGTCACTTAGAGACTCCAAAGAGGTCACGAACTGAAGGTCCTAGGAGTCCTGGTGCATCGTTGTGAGCTGCGAAGCTATAGAATACTTGGGCACATGGTTCTACCCCGATCTACCTCACAACCAAAGCCCGTTTGCTAAAACGCAGTCTGGAAGTGGCCCTGCCCCTGTTCAATTGATCCTTGCTAAGCAATTTCACTGTGGCAAACGCTCCCATATTCCCAGAACTTCAAATACCATTCATTTTGCCCCACCTGGTCGTGATAATCCACAAACAGCAAGAAAATGGGTCATTGTGATTCTTGACGATAAACATCTTCACATCTCGTGTGATGAGAGTACTTCCCTATCCATTCACCGCCCTCAAAAGAGGGCCAAGATGAGCGAAACACCAAGGAAAACACCAAGGAAAACAAGGACCACATCGGTCATCCATTTCCATCTCCTTGCGAACAGTTCGCATTTGCGAGGTTTGAAACCAAAGTCAATGAAAGTGTTCCTAAAGTCTCTTAAATAGTATACTTATGAGCACCTTGGCAGCCGCGTAAAACACCACCAATGCTACCCCGCTGTGCAAGAACCGCATTAACAATCTTCACAGTACTCGCATTCACTGCCTCCGACCTCTGCAAGCTTCTCTGGATTGAGAGGGGGGTCTCAGCTCAGCACTGAACACCAGGACATGTTCTGCCAGAATGCGTGATGTTGTGGTGATTATATTTTATAGACCATCCAGCCAAATAAAACAAAGTACAAATGATCCATCCCCACAAGTTGAAAGAGATTTAGTGTCATTTCTAGTTGATTTTGACCTTTGCCATGCCAAATTCTCTGGACTGGAATCCAGAAAGCCTCACTGTACAGTGCCTGGTTGCAAAACCAATTCACGCGGAGGCAAATTGATGTTGGCTGAGCAAGTGCAACATCCTCTTGTGGATGGCACGTCGAAGTTCGGTCGCTGCAGGCATGTTCAGTCGTGTTTAGCCCCGGCAATCACCAACGTTCGTGTCGCTAATCTGACTCCTAATCAAAAAAACAAAACAAAACCCCTTGCTTGCTTTGAACTCATCTGGGCCGGTGTGACCAACGGGTTGAACACGAGAACACACATCATTGAAATCGGGAAAGCAATGGAAACCATTAGCGTTGCCTGTACTCAGTGCAAACCCACCCAGCACAAGCTTAAGTAGGCAAATTAAGTAAATTTATCTTCAGAGAAGAACCATGGAACACCGGCCTGGCTGATGCAGCAAAAAGCCGCATGAGCTGAACAACATTTGATGCGCCAGGGCCGCTTGGCAATTCTAAACCTTGTGGGCAGCCAAGGCTCCATAACAATCACCAGCAAGCTAACCCCTATACAGGAGTTCTGAATTTACTGGATCAGCCACACAAATTCAATCAGTGTCAAAACATGTCAAAACACAAGAGCCGCTAGGCTGGGACTCTTCCTTTGGAGCCGGTATGTTGTGGTGAGCACAGTCAATTGCCTTGGAATACTATGATGGTGATGGTGATGGTGATGGATGTTGATGATAACCATGATAATGGCGTTGTGGCGTTGGGGAGGAGGAGTTCGACATCCTTCCAGAGGATATGGTTGGAGCTATAGTACAGTATGACTATTTCTGTGACTGAGGCGAGCCTGTAAACTTTAAATGATCAGCCGTAGCCTCTATGAGTAAGGGTCCCCTCAGAGTCTTGCGCGGATGCCCGGATGCCCTGGAACCTGGTGTACCCGTTTGGCACCTACGACATCCTACGATCCTACGCACTGATGGTCAGGGTGACACCGGTGTCCACCGGTCACCCTGACTGTCATATATTATGTTATCATTACTGTCATCTTTAGCACAATTACCATCATCATGATCATGATGATCCTCCTATGCTATGGTAAGCACGTCGAATTGGCTATGCACAGGAATGACAGCTTTGGGGCGTTTTGCTATGCGTTCTACTAGTTCTACTCACCTAGAGTCTAGAGCGCCGCAAGTGGCTGATCCAAGCAATTCAACCGATGCTACCTACTTCACAAAAGTGGGGGAAGTAAGGTTCGATGGCGACTCTCCTGACTTGTCACTACTGGGAACCTTCAACTTGCAAGAAACTGTGTTGCTTGCTGCTACTGAGTCACTGTTCAGCTCATGAAACCGCGGCATTGGTGCCAAAACACCTGGACTCCGCTGCGTCAGCTTTGCGGCCGCTCGGAGACATGCTCCGGAGCTCTGTCACTTCTTCCAGCTGAACACCACCGGTCACATGATCGACATGATCGACGACTTCACCTTATCCCTTCACGACGGGCAGAGCAGAGATAATTGCTCTGTCTGAACCATTGGCACCAATCAATCCATTCCGTGCATTTCGCTTCTTCAAGACCGGAAAAGACGGAAAACGGCCGACGCGGCCGCCGCTGGAGATCAAACCCATTCACTTTGCAACGGAAAACGCCTCAGAAAGTCGATCGAGAGGTGGATGCTTTTTGTGAATGCGAGAGGTTGGCAGCCAGACCATGAACCATCATGAACAACCCAACTATAGGAGGTATGGTATGGGTCTAGGTCCGGCGGGTACCGAAGTCCAGTGAAGAGGATCTTGGGCACCCAAGTGTTCAGGAATGTGCTGAATCATCGGGTCATCGTCCGTTAGACCCTGTTGAAGATCGACTGGACTCGCGGAAAGTGAATGGCACCGCGAATATCCACATGTCAAATCAGTTGGGATGCGCTGCTTTATCGAATGGGTGAAAACACGACGGCGAAGGGGTCGCTGTGGGCTGTCATGTTTGCACGCTAAAAGCGGCGCTGCGAGGGTGAGGGTCTTGGCAAATAAATGCAAATGGTGCTTATGGTGCATGCTTGACGCGTCAGGTCTTCCAAAAGCATAGAGTCGTACAGCCGCGGGACAGGCCTATTCACTTGAGGACAGTGGGGACGAAAGCGAGGGGTGTGGAAGGATCAAGGGGACGCGGAGGGAGGGCAGCAACGCAATGCTTTTGTGCCACGAGCGCAAAGTGTTGTTGGCTGAGTCAACCGAACACTTTCATATTGTCTTTTCTAGGCATTTGGTATGCTTTCTCACAAGGACGAGGGAGGAGTCGAATAGCCTCTTTCAATTCACTTCCCCCCCTGTAGACGTTTCAATCTGCAATTGAACATAATTGAAATATCAATTCCTTTGCAAGGGGGGGGTGGTTATTGAAAGAATCAATAAAAAGGGAGGGGGGGCCCCTCGGCTGACCCCTCCCTTTAATTGCATCAATCAATTAGTTCACTGAACCGTACCTTTCAATTTTGAGCCTCACCATATTTCGTAAACAACAACTTCCGCTGAGCTCCTTCTGAGCTCGCTTTCGTGATTATCTGCAATGCAAGAGCACTCCATTAGTGTCCTTGGTGTATTCTTGACCGTAGGTATCAGGATGAGGTGCCTGAGATGGACCCCTTTTGCAAGCAGCTGTGCCAAAAAGATCCAGCACCGGGATGGAGCCAAGAAAAGGACTTCTCCTTAAAATGGCGCCACCGCGCCACCTTGGCAGGGCAACCCTCATTCCAGAGCTTTCTGCATCTTGTTGAAGAACCTCCCCCATCTGTGGCAAAGCCCAACAGTGTGCCGCATGCTGCTGTTGAGCGATCTTATCCAAGTTTCCGCATCTCTCCCAATTTGGGCTCTTTGATGGTCCGAGATTGTGAGCCATATCCAGGTTTACGAGCGTACAGCGGATGCAGAATTTCAACCCGCAGGCAAACATTTTCCCGAGGTTGCAAGCAAGGAAGACATGCCATGTTTTGCCTCAAGCCCCTTTTGAATATGCATCTCAACACATCCATTCAGGTTTCAAAACAGTGTGATTATACATCCACCGACTGAAGATATATAAAGCCTAGAAATGAATCAAAGGTTTGCCTGCATCCATAGTAAAGATATTATATAGCCCCAGGCTGATGATTCAGCCCGAATGGGGGTCCAAATGTTTCCAGTACCCGATCTCCAGACCCGTTCCAGACGCACCGACAGCGCAAAGACTGTCCGCCCGAGCTATTGAGATCAGGCCCTCCCCAGCCTTCCACAACTCTTGGACTTGGGCCGAAAGCAAATCGGACATCAGACATTCCAGGGTTTTGGATCAGACAGGTTTAGGGTATGGGGTGTTTAACAGAGGTTTTCCAGCGTCCAAAACAAAGCTGTCGGACCAAACACAGGTTTTTTCCAACGTAACTCCCCCCCCACACAGAGAACACGCAGCAACAAAAAAGCTTGCCCACATTGTCCATCCAACAGGGGAGAAAGCCAGTGTAGTCGTAAGATGGGGAGATAGATTTGGAGATAAGCTTTTGGATGAGATTTCCCAGCAGCAGCATGCAAATATCAAAAGACGCATGGACTGTGCCAGTGATATGGGCTCCAACAAAATGCAAAGAAGCAGAAGATTGGAGCTGAGGCAGCCTTTTGTGGTGCATTTTTGCAACAGGTTTCAGGCTACCTATGCAATTCAGCTACCCTTGGACGTCAAACACCCTATTCCAACGGTTGACGGTTGCCCAGATCTGTACGGAGCATCGTCGCCAGGAGCCATGAGATGAGAGTACACGCACATGCAAAGCCAAACAGAAGCCGCAGGGCCACACCCATCTTTCGTAGCTTGGAATGTTTTATGATTTGGGTCTGGGCTCCACAAAAAAGTACACTCACATGTTCCTCAAGTTTGGAGCGGAGATGGTCGAAGCGAAGATGAGAATGATGAGATCCACGCTCGGAGGGCCTTTCAAAGCGCAGTCCGATGGTCCCTTCATGTCTCTTCCATGCTTCCCCCCATAAACCTCTCCACCCATATTCACATGCATGGGCAAAATGAAAAACACATGCACCAGCACCAGCGGAGTTCGGGTGGCTTTTTTGAGTCAGCCCCTGACATCCCTGACATCCCTCCAATCTTCACCTGGTGCTGTCCCTGACTCCCTGCATGCTTTGATGAGGATCAATTCCTCCAAAGTTCGGTGTGAGGAGTCGATCCCACTTTTGGGGCAAAGGCCCACTGAGAAGATCAAGGAACCATGGAACACGCCCCAAGAAAAACGCAGCCGGTTTGAATAAAGGCACGAAGAGCAAGACTTCACGTGGAGGGCAAAGAGTTGCGGAAAAGAAAGATCGAACATTTGCCACAGCATTGTTTTGAATTTGAGGCCAGGGGTTGGTGACGAAAGCTAAGCAGGGACAGGTGAAGACGGCAGGGCAAAAAGCAAATGCTAGCTGCTGCTAGCTTTCGTGACATTTTCTTAATTCACCCAAATAATCTCAGCGTCCTCCGGTTTGACGTCGTTCCGTTGTTTTAATTGCGCGATCTGGCAGTTACGTTGGTGTCCAGGTTCTAAGCGAACAGTTCTGAGCGAACATCTGGTTGGTGAAAAGGGCCTCCCGGTAGGATTCTTTACATTGGCCACGATATTCCAAATGGATGAATGTCCATCTCTAATTTCCAGAACTTAGATTGGTTTGGACTGAGCAGCGAAAACGATTTGTCTCTGTGTGTGTGTTTATATGCTGTCTGGCTTGATGCAAAGGCAAAGGCTTGTTGAAAGTTCCCAAACTCAGAACAAGTAATGGAGAATTGAGAAGAAACAATGTAATTAATATAGAGCTAGATGTTCCAAACGCGATGCCTCGTGAGCAGAGACGCGCCACACGCACAAAGAGAAGCCTTGGAGTCGGGCTAAAAGAGTGCTTCTGACCCTTTGCCCACAGGACTTCATGGATCTTCGATTTCCAAACCCATAGGCCGGACGGTTGTACCAACCAATCTGCACGAACACCTCTTCTGGGTGGGACGAAGACGACTCAATGACCTCACCTTTTAAGTGTTTCTCATGTTTGGCCATATGATAAATTCCATCATATCGTGTTCCATCTATTTCCATCTGTTTTCCATCTGAAACATCCGATGGTTGCTCTTTCGATGCAATCGCTCCTTTCCACCCCTCCGCGATCGCTCCCTTCCACCCGCGTCGCGCCGCTCGGACCCCCCGGCGCAGCGAGCTGCGGCTCCAAGCCTGTCGCCTCCTCCTGCGGAGCCGGGGCGGAGGCCGGCGAGCTGGGCAGCGAAGCTGGGCCGACCTTTTTTTCCAGGTCGGCTCAGGTGGAACCCAGTTGTTCTTCTCGCTGTTTGGGGGAGAATGTCGCTGTTTTGCATGCAACAAGATAAACTTCATGCTCTTCGCATATAGATCCAGCGCTTCCAGTTCGATTTGTGCATTTTAGTGGGGAACCCATGAGTTCAACACTGGTCACATGGTTTCAACGTTCGGAAAACGGTGAAGATCGGTGACGCACCACGCACGGGGTGGAAGAACCCGTGTTTGCGCGCAATGGACCCGGTTCCAGTTGGAAAGGATGAAGACTGGAGGACCCTCCCAAAAATGATAGGGGAAAAGGATGAAAAAGGATGGTTCTAGGATGGTTCTAGGCCAGTGTTTATCAGTCTTTCTGTTGAGACTGGAGGAACGAGCCAGGGGCTGGGCGGAGTCGGGCCAGGTGGACGGAGGTCGATGATGTCATTCTCATGGTGCAAAAAGCATGTTGACCAAGAGAGGTTAAGTGACCGTCAATAGGACCGGACCCGTAACCTGCAGTACCTCTGGGACGGTACAAGGGTTCTTCGACCTCTGTTTGCAGAATTCGCCAGGGGGCTTGAAGTTGTTCGAGATTTCAAGGATGGCCTTTGGCAATCGTCAACAGTTTTGGCCGGCATCAAACTTGCGAGTGAAGAAATAGTGGCCAAAGATGGCAAGATGTTGTTGTTGACTATTGGTCTGGCATCTTGAGTCACTTCCTTCCATTCATATATCTTGCTTGCCGTGAAATAGTCTCCGGACGAAAAAGAGTCTGGGTAGGGGTGGGTATGCAATGTATATTATACACATATTGAATCATGATACCATACATTCTGGAGCAAATAGAACATGGAACATTACAAGAAAAACATAGTCATACAATGTCATACATAGTCTATCTTCTCCAGGAAGGTTCTAAAGGTGCTCAGCTGCTCATCGATCTCTGCAAAACAATTGTCTGCACAGCATCTGTTGCTCCTCGTTCGGCAAGTTCAGGTTCGAGTTTGGCGGCTGCAACTTGACAGTGGGCTTCACCTTGGACTTCCCAACAAAATCCATCCAAATCCCTTAGATTTCCTGACCAAATACTGTAAAACCACCAACAACAGCAACAACAACAATAATTCGCATGGCATAGTATCGATTCAGAGGGATGTCCAGATGTTCATATGAAAACATCGCCGTTCTCAGCCGAGATCGATCCAAATCACCGGGGTTCAGAACCCGTCCGCCGCACCAGCAGGGAGCCGAAACGGTTCGCTGAAACGGGAACCGAAGCTGAGCAGATGCACCAGACTCGGATCGAAGGAGCTGGAGTTGATGCGCCTTGGAGCGCGAGCCGCATGCCGCATGGAACGAAGAACAAAGGAGAAAAACGGGCAAAAAAGACCGTGGTTCTGGATCACACACCATCGTTATTTGATGGTGTTGTTCATGATGTTCATGGTTTTGTTTAAAAGGACATCTTCGATTTCAATGCTGGTATACTGTATGCTGGTGCATATCCCAGCTGGTGCAGAAAGTCTTCGAACGGTGAATGCCTAGAGTTACGGATGGAACCCCCCAAACACTGTTCATTTTCAGTAGCGCAGTTCATGCAGTTGCCAAATTGTTCTTCAAGGTGGTTGCTATGCTCGCCTGGGAGAAGGTAGGAAACCAAAAGCAAACATTTTGCTTGAAGGTCCAAGTATGACGCGGCGGGTCACCAAAAAACACGGGAAAACACATTCAGAATGCATGCAAATCCACAAATGTACTTGCATCCTGTGGCAAGGTATTGGAACTCCCATGTCCCATGTGGGCAAAACAAATCGAGGAACAAACCAAGATATATACAGTAGACCAGTTAAAACTGGCCGAGTCGTGCCAATCAAAGCGGCAACATGTTGCAACTCATGTTGCACACAATTCATAAAAAGAAATCACATGTCAGCAAACATGGAAAAAAAAACATGAATTTTGTGCACCTACTCAGTCTATATAGGTATGGTATCATCTCACAAGAACATGATGGTAAAAGTCATTGGGAAGACTGCCGATGCAGGCCCAGGAATTCTTGTCGAATGTCCGAGGTGACAAAAAGCAAGGTCTCACAGTTTACTGGTTTACCTCCTCCATATCGAGGAAGATTTTGGGGTTCAACATTCCACGTAATTAATCTATTCCAATTATCCTTTTCGCTCCATGATTATGCTTCACGCCCTTTTCAGGATCAACCATCTTCTCACACCATCCACGACTACGACCTCCAACACGACCATCCACAGATCCAACAAAAATAATATGAAAAAGGAGGAACGGAGGAACAAGAAAATATATTATTATTACTATATAATCAAAAAACTCAATCATCCCCCGCTTTTTCCAACCCTTCCAAATTCGCAGTAAGCGACGCATCAAACTTGAACGTCACGGCATCTTCATTGGGAGGTGCCACCTGGCGCCCGGTCCGAATGTCCGGCACCGGTGCTCTGCCGTTGAAAGTGTTGAGATCGTCGAAATCCGAGACGGAGCAGTCTGAGTTTCAGCGGAGCTTACTGACAGACATATGAAACAACATGAAGCAATGATGTTCAGGCTCCAGGTTCGCTCCCGCTTTCGGCATCTGTTTACATCCTTCACACCAAAATCACATCTATAAAAAAGATTTTAAAAAGACATATGACGTATATGTCGAGCTCCCCTATGGTTTGCACCAAAAAACACCGAAGTCCGACCAAGAAAAAGCAGAATAGACTTCATCGACCAACACCGGAAAACCGCGAGTGGTCTTCCATCGTCACCGCCAACCTCTTCGACCGTCGGTGCTTTTTGTTCGACTCCCAACCGAGATGGCGGTGACTCGGTGACGGTCGGCATTCACCCACCGTCACGGTGCCACGGTGTGCCGCACGGGGCCACCCGGTGTGATGTGGATAGACTTGCGCCGCAAATGACTTGATTCCGCTGCTGGGTGTTAAGACCTAGCCGCTAATTTGCAGGTGAAGGATTAATGCACATAGCAATTTTATAAGCTCGCAGAAGATTCATATGAGGATAGGACAAAGGAAATGTCTTTGAGTACTTGTTGGGCACATTTCCGCCGAAATTCAGATCCAAGGCCAGGGACACAAGGCCACCCTGCCAGGACGTGCCCATGCTCATTTGGTTGCACCGCTCTGACTCTGGTCACCGGCCTCTGTGGCGAGCAGGGTAATGCAGGTAGTGACCTTCCTCATGTCAAAGACCGCCAAGGCCGCGAGCCTCAGAACTCACAGAGTGGCTGGTCGGCGGGTTTGGAAGCACGGGAGCCGCTTTTTGGGAGCCGCTTTTTGGGGGGTATGAGAACTGTACGTGGCAAGAAGACTGACCAAATCGATGTTGCGTTCATAGAAGATCGCGCAACAGGTCGTGATCTGGACTTTTCCGGAACATCTGGACAACTGCGTTGGTATCTCCCAGAAACACACCGGCGCTGTAGAACAAATACGGTTAGGTGAACCTGGAAGAAGTTCAACACGTTATTTAAATCGAAGTCTATACATAGCAGATTGACATTTGATTATCTTTGACATAATATTGACGATTGATGTATTTTTCCAGAGTTCTCCAAGGTGACTTCCCTTCGGGTCGAAGGCGAAAGTCGTCCAAGTCCATTCTGCACGGCCGAAGGCGGAGACCCGCTGTGGAGACGTTTTGGGTCTCCGCCGAAGTTGGTTGGAGACCTTCAAAACAACGACACAAAAAGGCTTTGGAAATTGGACAAAAGCTCCCAGAATCTGGAAGGTCCTGGCCCAAACCACTTGCTACGGGTTGCGAACTACACTCCTGGATTGCAGATGCCTCGACTCAAAAACAAAAATCAATGCATGCCCCACTACTAGCAGACCGTCTCGTCCAAAATCTGAAAACAAGAAAACACAGAGACACATCGATGCCATTGAATTCTCCTTGGTCCCTTGGTCCAGACTGACGATGGTCCAAGAAGCTTGGCAGAGAGAACATCAACGTCCATGTCCCGCAACTTCACAGCCATCATCTGTACGAAACGTCGAAACGAACTAGCGGAGCTCAAACCACCGACCTCGCAGACAAGACAAGACCACCCACCAGCGGAAAAGTCGTGCCACGCAGCGTTGAATGAAGGGGGTCAAAAAGAGGAGGTCGCAACGGTCTACAGAGTAGTCGGAGTGATGTTCCACACTCACTTGTGTGCCAAGTTGGACCATGTCTCAAAAAGTATTCTTGAGGGTATGCAGCTTCGGACTTGGTCAAAATATCAAACAATGTCTCTGGGTTCCCTGCGCTTGGAGTGTGACACTTGTCACATTGCTAAACAAATCTACAGTGGAGTTACACAGTCAGCGTCGATGTCCTGAGCCGAACCCACTCGAGAGTTGCGGGTCGAAGAACAAGAGAGATTGAAGGTAATTATAAGTACTTACATAACACCAAATACTAGGAGTCGCAAAGGGGTGGTGTTGAGTCCCCTTACGTGAGTGGATGTGACAGGGGCACCACTATTTAAGCTCCATCAAGCAGCCCTTTGTGACTGCTGGTATGGCGACTTAGTTGGAGAACCACCTTCACCTTGAAGAACCATTCAGATGAACTTCACATCGGCCACCAAAATCCATCAGCGACCTTGCAGAGTGGCGCCAACTTCTCCGCGCTTGGCACAGTGCCCAGGTTGAAGAAGAAGATCTCCTTGCACCACGAGTCGACTGACGGAGGAGTTACCACGATGGAACGCAAGAGTCACACGCTGAAGTCAGTCCATACAGGAGATGAATCTTTCAGAATTGCCGAACATCTGGATCTGATCTGGTGCTTGTATCAGGACAATTCAAAACCATCAGCGGAAGGGCCTCGAGTCGTAATGACTCATCACGAGCATTTCAGCATTTCTCTGAAATTGTTCGTCGAATTTCCCATCGGTACGATTCCATCCGTAGTCACCCCTCGAAGCCACGTCGAAACCACGCGGACACGTCGCAGAGAAGTTCCAGACTTCCCAATGGCGCAGCGCGTACGAAAACGAGAAAACCTGTTACCGTTTCGCTGAGAAAATGTGTGAAAACGATGATTGAATCTTCTCTAAGTGGTTCAATCGCCTGCATTCATGCCGCAACCCTTTGAGCTAGTTTTTATGTTTTCTTTTTTTCGACACTGCGTGCATGTGTATTTTGTCGTTACATTACTTAACCTGTCACAAATATATATATATATATAATTATATATAATATTGATATGTATATATTATATGGTATTGTGAAGTTGCTGTTAAGACATCCTGATTCTGTGTCCGCACTTGTTGCAAGTGCACAGGTCAAAACCTGGATTTGGATGTTTGATCGACTGAAGCTACTTCATAATTGACTCCTCCCACAGTGTATGACCAAAGCAATCCAGGGTCATGTGTGTGAGGGTCTTGGGGGTTCCTGGTTCATTCCTGCATTCTTTTCACCATGGTTGGAGGCCATCGCTATTAGGTTGGAGGCCATCGCTATTAGGTTGGAGGCCATCACTATTAGGGTGGAGGCCATCGCTATTAGGTTGGAGGCCATCGCTATTTGGTTGGAGGCCTTTGCTATTAGGTTGGAGGCCATCAATAGTAGGCTGGAGGCCATCGCTACATTGCTATTATATAGGTTGGAGGCCATCACTATGGAGGCCATCGCTACTAGGTTGGAGGCCATTGCTATTAGGTTGGAGGCCATTGCTATTGGGTTGGAGGCCATCGCTATTACTGTAGGTTGGAGGCCATCGCTATTAGGTTGGAGCAAACTTGACATTTGCTTTCAATTGGGAAGCCCAAGTTGGCCAAGTTTCTTCCTTCCACTGCTCCAGACGGGGTGGGATTGATTGCAAGTTGGCTGTGGTGTTTGTTATAGCCCAGTCCCTGTTCCAATTTCAAGGTGAACATGACCATGGATATTGGCTGCTGCAACCAAATAATTGGTAAGTAACTTGGGGATTCCTATTGTCGCCCAAAGAAAAATCACCCCACTGAAACCCTTGCGAACACGTCAAAGTGGTTGCTTGAAAAAGACATGAACGGCCTGGAAATATCCATACCCTTGCAGCTTAAGATTGATGACACCAGTCGCAAATGCAACTGCTCAGGGCATGAGTACAAAGGACTACTGCAATGGGATACCGGATGCCTCAGAACTCTTAGTCTCCCAGTCACTAGTCGTTATCCCTCTCAAGACCAATGCGATGAAAATACATGGCTATGGGCTATGGGTTTCTCCACCCTGTGCCCTGTTCAAGCTCACAAAACCACCAACCCTCCCCGAACTCACACAGCAACTCACCGAACTCACTATATCAGTAGTTTGGAAGAACAATAGTTCAATGCTGAAAACATATTATGTTGAAGGTTGAAGTAAAGCGAAGCGACGTATGGCGATGTGGCGGGAGATGAATTGTGATGCACTGATGTCTGATGTGGTGACTGCTGAAGTTCTGGGAGATGCAGGGAGATCGGCTGGCTGAGATGGAGATCTTCATGTGCCGCTATTGGCATGGAGGCCCTCCCCAAGGGAACTGTGACAACGGACTCTACCAGGGAAGCAGTACACCACGCCCACGCCTTCTTAGCACAGCCACACTGAGTACCCTTGCGCACACTCTCGCAACCTCAATGCTTCAGGAGGAACATATCTTCTTGTAACCAGCTCTTACAAGATCTACGCGGATCAGCCGCGGCCGAGTTAGGAAGTCCATGTTGCGCGAACAGTGTGGGATGCTCAACTGTCACCTTGTTCATCCATGTTCTTCAAATTTATGTAGCCTTTAAGCTGCTTTGAAGGAAGGAAATTTTACCGTGTGAGGTGACATAAGAAGTCTCTTGCATGATCTTAAAGGGAAAGTCTCACCTTGGAACCTTCAACAAGAAAAGTGTTGTCCTAGTCTTTGATATGTCTCACATTGTCTCCACCCATGCGTGCACTTGTATCATACACATTTCCTGTCAGAACGTCCGAAACTTAGAGTCCATGAGTCCATGGGTCACCACAAACCCAAATCCCCTGAACCGGCACGGGAATGCCGGTGCTCCTGCTTTCCTCCCAAGGCTGTCCGGTAGATCAATGCACTCGTCGTCATCACACACATGATCCCCATGGCCGCCGCAATGCCACTCCTCGGCAGACGGCTGTCGGAGGGGCTTCGCTCCGTCGAGCGGAGTGACTTCGCCAGTTTCCAAGCCACAATTCACCCGACTAGCCCTGCAAACGATCCCGACCCCAAATTCATCCATCGGTTTTTCTCATTCTTCCTCTACAGCCCAGTGGATTTGGGTTCCATCTTAATCTTCCAGGGAAGTATTCCAGTGAGTGTATCAGTCTCAGATCCTCCACTGAAACTCGGACCCGAAGAATCAATCCATTTTTCCATTCAGGGCCCGGAGTCTCAATTTGTAGGGCTCCTGGCCACATCCGAAGGTATAGGGACAATCCCCCAGACCTACCCCAACCACCTTCAGGAGCCCGTTGACGGGAATGTTCGCTCGGTCCAGACCGCACAAGACCCGTGTCTTCCACCGTGCCGTACTCCGCTGAAAGGTCTCGTGATCAAATGCATTTTCTCTCTCTCTCTCTCTATCTCTCTCGAAACCAGAAACTGATTTTATACCCCATTACACTTCTGAGTAGGTACTCAAGTCCTCCTTAAGTAAGGAGTAACATGAACCTTGTCGCTGCAGAGAGTCAGCATCAAAGTCGACATGAACTCCGCGAACTGTATCATGGTACTATCCTGAGACGTGCGCATTGGAGTCTTTTCTACGTGGTCGGTGTTCAAGCAAATCTGCAGGTGTATCAGTGTATCAACTCAACATTCGACGTACCTTTTAGGATTTGCCCAAACTCTCTACAACCCGCCAAATAAGTAGTGAAATCAGACTCCAAATTGTATGGGAAAGCGTTTCAATCTATTCGGGAACCACTCTAAAGTTCTGAGGCTAGAGAAAAAAATGGTTCACTTGCACCCACGTTTTCGTGCTAGCTGGATCAGGTGGGGAAAACGGTGGCAACCGGTCAGCGACCGGATTGCTGGATCCCTCTTAAGGGGTTGACATGGAACATTCGGCCCAGAGCTGCCGTAAGCAATGTAGATATCCTGCCTGGCGATGTTAGCGGAAATTTTTTGTTTGAGAAAACCCTCGTTCTATTTATCCAAACACGGAGCGTTGCCCCGTCTGACGTTCCTCCGGCGGGTGTCGTTTGGTCCAATCTGAGAGGGCGGGAACCGTCACTCACGTGGCGGCTGAGCCTACACTGTGCCTACACCAGGTGCGCATCCCGCGAGGTGTGCTGAAGCTTGCCGTGTAGCCGTGTAGCCCTGTGATTATAGCACGTGCCGCACAAACATATACACAAACAACATCCTTTGACCATGCTTTGGTGATCATTCTACTGGCCACGTGCAAAAGCCTCTATTCCTACGTACCAGTAGACACACATAGACACTCTGACAATTGTATTCAGTTAACTCAATTTCCCGAGAAAAGGAATGGCTCAACGGTAAGGTGGAGAGTCAGCGCAATTGTAGATGTTTCAAAAAATGGTTTTCTCACTTGACTGCGGAAAACGCACAGTGGCAAAGTGGCTGCAGGTCGGCGGTGGGAAAAGGTTTGGGGGAAGAAACATGAACGACCATGGCATCAAAATACAGCCAGGAAGAGTGGAGTAGTGTCACGGTGCAGGTACGTCATCAGGCGTCCCTGATGATATCCTAGGAGCACGTGAGGAGCTTCGTTGGATGGAGCCTCACGTGTCCTCTCCATCCCCCTGCCTGTGAACTGTGGTGGGGGTGAACCCTTGGCCCAGGGGTTGACACACACAGATCGCCGATCGGCGCCCCTGCTGGAATCAAACAAGGAAATTCTTAGGTACAGAGTGTGATACACACTCCGCCGCTTTGCGGCTCTCTGGCATAAAACGTAAGATAGTCACCTAAAAAGCCTTAGAAACAAAAGAAAGGAAAGACAGAAAGAGCAGCGCTAAGAGGGCAAGAAGGAAAGATAGGTGTAGAAAAAAGGTGAATACTTAGCCCTTGACTGGGGTAGGGAAACGAGCCTGAAGAGCAACCTAAAAAGCCTGAGAGAAAGCCCAACAAGCGACGGAAAGCGCAAGAAGAAAAGTGGGGGGGCAGGGAGGGGGTGTATGTTCATGTGTGTGTACATGTGTATGTCTGACTACCTAGCACTCTAGAGTTACTGATCACTTAGCCGAAAATAATTAAGTGTAGTAGTTAGGGAGCGGGACTTTAGTCTTAGACCGCCCGAGTAGAGAAGACTAGAACAGGAACAACACAGGGAAAGGCACCGACACACAAGTGTGTCGAGTACCATTTCCCTATGTTGCCCTAATTAGGTGGGGAGTAGAACTCGGCTGGGGGGAGGGTAGGGAAACCTGCCTGGCTGCGGGTGGAGTACCGTTTTAAAGCCCGGCGGCTATGGAGTCCCGTGTTTAGGCCCGGCGGCCGTGGTGGCAGTTAATTCGGTGGATGTGGAGGTGACTTCCAGTGGAGTTCCTGTGAAAGGTGGTGAGTTAGTGCTTGCACGATGAGACAGCGCCCCAATGACGGGGATCACACTCAGCACCCGAGTGGGACGGCTGAGCGAAACACACTCTGACAATTGTTTTCAGTTAACTCAATTTCCCGAGAAAAGGAATGGCTCAACGGTAAGGTGGAGAGTCAGCGCAATTGTAGATGTTTCAAAAAATGGTTTTCTCACTTGACTGCGGAAAACGCACAGTGGCAAAGTGGCTGCAGGTCGGCGGTGGGAAAAGGTTTGGGGGAAGAAACATGAACGACCATGGCATCAAAATACAGCCAGGAAGAGTGGAGTAGTGTCACGGTGCAGGTACGTCATCAGGCGTCCCTGATGATATCCTAGGAGCACGTGAGGAGCTTCGTTGGATGGAGCCTCACGTGTCCTCTCCATCCCCCTGCTGGTGAAACAGTGGTTAAAAAGTGGTAGTGGAAGTGGCGGTAGGAAACCCTTGGCCCAGGGGTTGACACACACAGGTTGCCGTCGTCGGCGCTTTTTCAAAAAACGGTGGCAGGCTTGGCGATTGTGTCCTTTTTGGACATAGAGCCTCACTAGCTCGGCGGCAGCAGCGGCAGCGCTTGAGGGTGGAAAGGTGTATTTGTGGATAGTGTGGAGTATGGATTGGAGGCCTGACAGAGCCAAGCGCCGGCTCCCGCCTGTGGTGGCATCCCTGATTTTCCAGGGTTGGGAAGGTTGTATGTAGGTGATGGTGCGTTGTTGGAGGTCAATGTTGAAACCTAGGAGGTGAAAGTCGTCAACAGGTTCCAGTTCCACTGGGTCCCCGAAGAAATTGTGGTGGATGAGGGTTTGAATGGCTGGGCGGCGGAGGAAATGCTCATTGTGGACAATGAACCGGTTGTCAACGTAGCGGTAGTAAGCAAAGTGCAGGTTCGTGTGTTGTAGTAGGTTGTTGTGGATCTGGTGCCAGGAGTGTTCAATGAGGGCGATGGCGACATTGCACAGGGCTGGAGAGAGTTGGGAGCCAATCCCAGCTCCTCGGATTTGCTTGTAGGTGTTATTGCAAGCCCGGAAAATGCAAGTGTTGAGTGCATAAGCAACGATAGTGGTGATGTCAGAGGTCTGGATGGTGCGTTGTGTAGGGTGTTTTTGGTGGCGTCTGCCGATGTGGGAGTGGTGGAAGGGGTTGCCGGTGGCTTGAACATCTACTGTGAGAGTGTGTGTGGATTGCTGTTGTTGCCAGTGCTGAATCATGGAGTGAACTGCATCGATCAGTCGGTGTTGGGGGACCGAGTTGAAGAAACCCACCAGGTCGTCGTTGGTGGCATGTAGGGAGATGTCCGCTGGTGTTTGGGTGAGGTAGCTGTGGAAGTGGTGCCAGAGTTGTGGGATGGATAGTTGTCCTGGATGTTGTGGGTAGAGGTGTTGGAGTATAATGTCAAGGGCACGGCTGGTGATACGTAGGAGGTTGCCTGTGAGTGAATGAAAGTATGAGATAATGGTGCGGCCTTTCTGCCATTGCTTTTTCTCCTTGAGGTGAACCACCCCGTAGGGAATGTTGAAATCCTTGCGAAATCCCCACTTGTAGCGGGTGCGGAGGATGGGTGGAACAGTGGCTTTGAGATGGTCGTGGATGTTGGCGGCTGTAAGATAGTGAAGTGGTTCAAAAAGTTCTGGGGATTGCCACGTGTTCAGAGCTCCGGTGAAATATTGGCGGGGGCAGAACAGTCGGAGTTGCTGTAGTTCATGGTCAGCATGGTGAAGTACTGTATGTGGGCCGAGAAGTTCTTGGAGTTGTCGGAGCAACCGAGCTGTAAAGCGGGGTTGTTGTTGGAGGTGGGCGTTGTGGAGGCGCCATTGATGTGCGAGAAAAGGTTCCAAATGCTGGACGAGGGATGGTGGTAGCCCTTGGAGTTTGAGCCGTGTAGGCTTTTTGGAAAGTGAGGAAGTAACGGGCCTTGCTGGGGTAGTAGGTGCTGTTCATGTTGG